CCTCGCTTTTATTGAATTCACACATGTATATTTATTGACTGGAAAAATGCTTTAAGTTTGGTTATGTACACGGTTATTGAGGATACCTAAAGAGGACCAACTGTACGCCGCGTTACTTTGCCTCAGTNCCTCTCCAAAAAAAAAAAATGAACTCAAAATCGAGATGATTTCAGAAAAAGGGATTTAATACTAGAGAATACGCTGTACAACAGATGACAGCAGGCTACATTCATCCCACAATATTCCATCGTCACGTGGTGTTCACTAATTCATAAAATCTCTTGTAAATTCCGTATGGTAGAAGATTAAGATCTGAAACTTTGCATTGACAGTCCAGAGACTAAATGAACTACTTTCTTGCTAAAAGTTTTCTGACAGATAATGATAAATGACTTTTTTTTATAACGATAAAGGTATCTGGACGCTAACAGTGAACAAAGGTATGTATACGTATATTAAAGTAATAACCCAGTGCAAAACCCGTGCAGAAAAATTTTCACTTTCAAAGCACCAGAGAAATAAAAATTTCGCGTTGTAAACCATACGTTTTATGAAAATTAGCAGAGAAACACATACCATTGAATACGGTATTGCTGCTGAAGTAATTAATTGGATCTTATTTATAGTATTGGGCTCTTGCCATTAGTTGCAATAATTAATGAAGGATTTCATGCAGATAACATATTAATATTGCTCGAAAAACGTACACACAATACGTCAATATATCCACACGGCGTGTTCGTTTACATTCTGCATAAATAATATGACGTTGACAACTTTCGAATCTGTGTCAGTGATACAATTAACTTAATTTTAAATAACTCAGCTAGGCAACGCTGGCGTCCCAGGGGAGAAAAGGACTTGTGCCATGAGAGTAACATTGCACTTATGCTTTTTTTCCTTAAGATGGCAAAATGTCTTAAAGAGATACAGTAATCTTGTATCAGGCAGGTTGAATACCTCGATAACAGCATACTTGCGAGCGGGATCTTATCTCAAAGAAATATTTACTGATATAAGCCATGGCATCACTCTATATAAGTATATCTCATAGCGTCATTCAGGATAAATTTTTAACTTTTTTTAAGACATCAGGATTTACAAGTAGGAAGCGTAGTATTTCCAGTTGGAAGCATTGAGAAAGCGTGATGAGAGAAGTTATTCTATTTTAGAGTATCAAATCACATGACCACACGTAAGGATACAATAGTACTTTATGAAGATGACTTGAGATTGAGATTTCATTACTAGGATGCCATTCTACTGTGTCCTCTTAAATACTGGCACGCAACTCTACAATATATGGTATCTATAGATGTATAGATATATGGTACCATATTTCTATGGATTATCATGGCCTAGGACGCATCTTACTATTTTTATTTTTGAGAAAGCAACTCTACTACTGTACTACACTGATTGGAATATTGTGTTGCATCTGACGTCCGTGACCATGATAAACTCTAATTTCCTTATGTTTAGCAAGACTATAATAAGTATTCATCTGCAAGGCTTACGCTGTATAAGAGTTTTTTTTAATTATTTCACGGAGTTCATTGGTTCACTCTTTAGTATAATTAATTATTTTCATGGAATGAACTTGAAAGTAGATGATTTGATGAGTAAATTTTTAAACGATAGCATATAATTGTAAGAAGTAAGTACATAATAAATAATACTGCAGTCTTCCGATTCTAATGACTCCTACGATTCTACAAAAAATCAAAAAATATACCTTCCTACTATCTCAAACACTGCTATTCGCTCCGAGCCGATGCAGAGGTTGCGCCCCCTCTAGCCAAAATCAGGCAACATTTCTTGCATGTAAACAAACGGTTTAGAACATATATAGGTACATACGTACAGCTGCTTGTGATTGGCACTTGGCAAGCTAGAGAGAGAACGACGATCCTCTCCTGCTGTCTTATTCAGCCAATCACAAGCAGCTATACGTATGTATATATGTTCTAAACCGTTTGTTTACATGCAAGAAATGTTGCCTGATTTTGGCTAGAGGGGGCGCAACCTCTGCATCGGCTCGGAGCGAATAGACACGAATGCATTCTAAA